TCGTCGTCGTCGTCGTCGTCGTCGTCGTCATCATCATCATTATCATCATATTACGTTATTATCTGTGTTTGCCGAAACATACCTATGTATCAAGTTAGACGACGGCTGTGTGTTACCCTTGAACTCTTTATAATCAAGTTTAAATATTTCTTCTACATTTGCTCTATTCTTCTCATTTAGAAGCTTTAAAAAAAAAAAAAACCTAAAATTAAAATCAAATCAAAATCAAAACCAAACCGAAAGAGATAGAAAAAAAAAAAGAGAACGAACGGACGAACGAACGGACGAACGAACGAACGAACGAACGAACGAACGAACGAACGAACGAAAGAAAACCATCCATATAATGTTGCTGAGCGGTTTACATAAAAAAAAGAATGTGGAAAATTCCGGCGTTTTTCAACAAGAAAAAGATTGTGTTGTCTTTTTTTTTTTTTTTACTTTACTGTTTTTAAGAAACAATGAACCGGTTTGCAAAAAAATTTTTTTTCACCAAATCAAAATTTCTTTTCTACTTTTCCTTCTCCTGTTTCTTTTTTTTTTTTTAATTGACTCAAAACTGATGATGAACACAGAGATGTTTCAAACATACAGTTTGAAGCATGCAAAAATCAACGTTATCAAAACTTCTGAGGAAGAAATGACAGCGGGTTAAAGGGTGACAGAGAATCGTTAAGCCATCCTAATAAATGTACCCTCTGAATTCGAAGTCAGAAAAAAAATCTTTGTTTCTGTCATTTTCTTCTGTACATTTGTTTTTGATTTAATCAAAAAAGCTGTCGCCATCATGCAGAAGCAGAACCGCATAACAGGATTTTTGCATAAATCATTCAGGTCCTCTATAGGCTCCCCCCGTTGAGTTGCCTAAGCAAATAAGTTTTTGCTTTTCAGTCTTTTTTTTTTTTATTCACTAATTTTTTTTTCGTTTGATTGCTGTTACTGTTGTGCCGTTTGTTTTCGGTTTGCTTATGTCGTTGTTATTTGCTATCTGATTGGAAAAGCAGTGAAATGGAA